GTGTTAAAGTAGTTCGTCGCACTCATAATCTAATTTTCATTTCATTGCCAGCATCTTCTTGTTCTCCTTTAAGATCAATATGCATCAGTCTAAACCTATACAAACACCGATGTGTACTAGTACCACTTTGCACCCGAATGGTGGTATATTTCTACACGATGCAGCTTAATATTTTCAAGTTCTTGGTAGCTTACAATATCTTCTTCTTACAAAAACTTGACATTGCCTATATATAATTACCAAGCTTTCTCTATTCATGAATAAGCCCCACACACAACATTGGATGTCATTCGAACGCGCGTTGCGCTATCTTTGTGGTACACTTTATTGTGCCCCTTTTCTTTGCAAACAATCTTCATTTATTCTTTATGCTTTATTTGACTCTGATTAGTCTGAAAATGCTAATGACACTTGACAACACGTCTACTAGTGCACATATTGTATTTATGCATTTCTCAATCATAATCAAATTGCTTGATTGTCTAGAAAGCAACAAAATTGTGGCTCATTCTTCTAGTGAAGCTGAACTATAGATTTCAGATTAAATGGCGAATTACATCGAATAAATCTCGTTTTTTAAAACTTATTTTTTCCAAATTCATTTTCAACAGTAAATTATTTAAATAAAGCACGTGGATCCATAATTTTTTTTAAAATACTTTTTAACCATACATTGTTTAAAATTATTATTTTTTACAAAACCTATTCTCAAAAATAAGGCGCTGTCGGACGCGCTTACGGAGGAGAAAAAAATCAAATTTTTAACTGTTGCAGCCTACAATTGTTGACCCTCTCTCTCACGGCCAGGACCCGCATGTCTCCTCCAACGGTAGTATTTCTGATTTTAAGTGGGCATTTAATTGAAACCAGACATGCTCTAAACATCAAACACGCCTTGATGGTTGAATTTTAGTCCGAGAAGTAGAGAATAAGTATTAATAATGCTATTTGTATTTGTTTATTATCGTAGTCGTCCAACGTGACATATATATGATGATTAATGATTGATGCATAGGATGATGAAAAAATATCACATTAATGTATCGAATCACTACTGTCACGTGTATGCCACGTAAAATGATTACGATAATAAACGACTACGTATAACGTTAATAAAAAAGTATTGATATCCCATCAATTGCACCATGAAGCACTTCAATCGAGTGATGGACCCTTCATATTCTTTAATCGGTTGCTTTTCAAAGGCATTGTTCAAGGGTTAATTGACAATTACAATGAATTTTCATTTAGATCATATTTGACNTTTAACAACATATTTTCCAAAAAATTACTATGCCAAACTCTATTTTCTCAAAATAATAGCCATCAAATAGGGGCTCAATGTCATTTATGTCGATCCCATCAATTGCACCATAAAGCACTTCAATCGAGTGATGGACCCTTCATATTCTTTAACCGGCTGCTTTTCAAAAGCATTGCTTAAGGGTCCATTGACAATTACAATGAATTATCATTTAGCCATATTTGACAATTATTATTTCAAAATTTTTTAATTCTTATACTCATTTTCAATAACACATTTATAAAATATTCTGCACGTAAATTCAAAATTTTCTCATGCTTTTTAATCACACATTTTTTAAATTATTCTATTTACTTTATTCAACTTTAAAATTTATTTTAGTTGTACACCACATTATTTGGTCATCTGTATTTTAGCAAAAAAAGAATCTTACGTGGCATTGATGTTCTAGTTGGTTAGTTCATCGATGTAACCTGCCGCGTGAAATGACAGGTTAGTTCACATGTAATATTATTTTATTGAAAATGACTTGAAATAATGTATTTTTGTTTTAGTGGAGCCCAAACAAGGAGCTTAGTGCTTGTTTGATAGAATTTACTCGAAAATAATGAGTTATTGAATAGTATTTTTTGGAGAATGTGTGGTTAGAAAGTAATACAACTTTATTGGTTTATATGTAGAATATTTTATCGCGTAGTGAAAAAATGATACCGTAGTAAACAATTTAATTTTTTAAAGGGTGACAAACAGTGCCTTAATATATTGACATTACACTCACGAAAATGATTTAGCCCATGTTTGTTTGTATTATTCAGAAAAAAAAAAATTAAATAGTAATTTTTTGAATGGTGTGTGGTTAAAAAGTAGAATATGTTTTGAATTTACGGGTAAAATATTTTATTATATGAATGCGTGATTGAAAATAAGTATGCAAATTGAAAAGAAAAAATGTTTTAAAGAGTCAAATTTGTGCTTAATATACAAGTATTTTTATTTAGATGGATCATTTCACTTCGAATAAACAAAATGGGAAAAAAAAGGCATCGAGCAAATGAACATTTAAAAGAAAAAATAGAGAGATTTAATGTATAATAACACGACAAAAGTTTGAAAATCCATACTCTGTAGTTCTCTCTCACATAATCAATCGACTGATATGATGATATAGTTGAAATGAGTTTTAAATTTAGTTGAAATGAATTTTAAAATACATTATTTCAAAACTCATTTTTAATAAAATAATATTTTTATTACATCAATAACTATTATTTACTTTTTAATTATATATTTTTCATGACATCAATATTTAAAATACATTATTTCCTTAATAATATTCATCAAACACACTCTAAGTCCATATTTGATGGAGTAATGTTATTCATCTTCAGTGGGGTTACAAACACAATTTAGATAACTCTAAATCATATGTTAAATGAAAAGTGAAATTAAATAAATAACATATCATTTAATGTCACATTAACGCCACATAAACTGTGTTTATAATCTCAATGGGGATGAATAACATTACTCTATTTGATAACCATTATTTCAAAACTTTTTACTTTATATATTTATTTTCAAACACACATTCACACAATAAAAATATTCTTGACTTAAACCCAAAATTTTTTCCTACTTTTTAAATGCAAATTCTCTTCAAATAGTCACTATTCAATTTTTTTTGTTTTTGTTTTGCCAAATAAAGGCTATCAAACAGGGGCTAAGGATTTTCTATTCAGCCCCTATTTGATACACATTCTTTTAAAATATATTTTCTTCTCAATAATATCTATCAAACACACACTGGGCCCTGTTTGGTTCACATTATTTTTTTCATTTTCATTATTCTACTCATTTTCAACCACACATTCTTCAATAAAATAATATTTTCTATCACATCAATAATTTTTCCTTCTTTTCCAACCACATATTCCCCATCACATCTACAGTAAAAATACATTCTTACCTTCAAAATGTGCACCAAACGGGGGCTTAATAAAAAATAAGGCCTACCAATGTGGTGGTATAACCGAAAGGATTTTCAAAGTTCGATATGTTAAATGAAATGATTTAAAGTTCAGTGGTATAAACGACACAAAACGTAAAGTTAGGTAACTATTCTTGTAATTAACCCGACTGAGTAAGCACACGTAATTATTCACGTCACGAAATGATGTCACGACACAAACGTCCAAAATAGGCTGGGCCCATTCATCACATTCAATCGATTTGATTGGTTTTACTTTTCCTTCCTCACCAAGAAACATAAATACTTTCATAATTTCTGTGTCTTTGGTACAAAAAAAACATTGTACGCCAAAGCTTGATAGTTTCTGACGACTTGGACGAATCATTGAGTCATTGACACAGTACAGTAAAGAAGAAGAGAGATTTCTGGTATATATTCATAGTTGAATCAATTATCGTTCTACTTTACCTTTTTCTTCATTATCAACATGAACAAGAAAAAGAAAGGAAACCCACAAAACTTCTCGCACGGCGGGGGGTGGCGACCACCGCCGCAAGCTCCTGAACACGGTAGATTTTTACCGCAGCAAGCGCGTACGCAATTTAGGGCGTCAAAGTCGAGAAATGATGTTCTTGAGAGGATCAATAAAGCGCTGGTCAAAGCTCACCATGATATAATAGCGGCCGGAGAGAATGTCTCCACATTGAAAGTGTCACAGGCGGCTTTATTGACACTTGAAGTCGATTCTTGGGAATCGTTGGGATTTCGAATGCAGCATGTGCCTTATCTCTACAACCTCACGTATACGGAAGGAAAGGTAGCAAAACAAACTTTTACTTGAAAAACTTTCAGTCTTGTAGTGCTTTTAATTGTGTCCTGATCTACTTAACAATATAGAAAACCAGGCGTATATAGTGACCGATTTTTCCAAATGGTCGCTCTCAGCGACAGAGTTTTTGTTACAACCTTAAGATATTCGTTGCAATTTCGAGTACTCCGTTCACAAATTGGTTGCAAACGCAAAGAGTGAGTTGTGTGGATTGATATAAATGACAGGTCCCAGATTTTCAATAAGTTCATTCTGCTAGTCATTTCTTTAATTTTCAGTTATCAAAAGGGGTCTAACTCGTGTTAATAAAGTTTCTCTTATAAGCAATCTTTGAATATTGCTTAATTTTTTTACATTATTTATAGATCATTGCGTTCATCCACTGCTTTGTCGCGGTCAGAAAAGTTACTTCGTTGTATGAATTGGAACTGGCTATTTGCGAGAACGAGGGGATCGAACAGTTTGAAGAGCTTGAATTGGGTCCTTTACTGAAGCATCCACTTGTCAAGCATTATTTTTCTTTGAGTGCTGATGTGACGGAAGTGTTGCAAATAAAGACTGAAGACATCATTTCTTACCTTCATAAGTTCGTAGACACTCGCGGACGAAAAGAAGTTAAGATTGATGAGTTGCTGGATTACATTGCTTCCGAGCGATCTGTCGCTAGCAGGGAAATGCTGCAAGTGCGCATTCAAAGTTTGGGGTATGTAGTGCATATCTGCTGGTTTGAATTTTAATTGCAGTATTTTTTTTGTTAATAAAGAAAACTGTCTTTTAATATTTAGGGACTATGAAAGATGTCTTGCATTGAACACTTTTTCTCTTGTTTTCGTTCTTGTTGGTATATACTTCTTTTATTGCCAATGACGAGGGGACGGAATTGGAATTGTGCTGTTATCGTGTGGTTGTTGGTGGAAGCCTTTGTGGACACAATGCTGTTGCTCTGGGAATCTCCTTTTCTTGTATGTTATATGTCATATAGTGGCAGATTAATCACATGTTGCATTGCATGGTAATAACACCTTCTTCACTACTGAATTGACATAGGTAGGGGAACATGAATAACATGGGTCGAAAATCTGTATGAAACAAGATAGACCATGGATTTTCAACAACTTGTGGGAGGGAGACCTCTGTGCTTTTTCTAGTTTGATAACTCTTACAACTCAGTCAAGACTCCAAGATAAAAGAAATCATTAGTTATTCTACCAAAGCTGGAAAATGTATTCTCAAACAAAAAAAAGTGCTCCATCTTTGTAGTAATGATTTAAAGTACATCCATAGGCTTCACAATTTGATTCCTTCTATCGTCTTGTATACCATAGAGATAAATTCTATGTAACTTAGCATTTAATGTTTGTGAAAGGATTGACAGGGTATGTTTATTCACAATTTAATGCTAGTTGCTTACGTGTTATGTTCACCTTTTGCTTGACATTGGAGGAGTGTATTTATGAAAGGATTGACAGGGTTTACATATAATTTTACCCTCTGAGACAGCTAGCAGAGAGATAACGTGGTACCATAAAATAATTGAAAACTCTGTTCAATTTGCAGAACAGTTATAAAATGTAATAGTTCTTGGTCAAAGTTTTGGTAACTAAGATTTCTTGATTGAGTTTCTCTCTTAGATTTTCACTCGTTCAATCCAGTTTTTAATTTTTTTCCTTCTTGATATGTTGGACTGAATCAGTCAAATTGTTTTCTAGGTTGCACATTGCTCATGTTAAACGCATAAAGCGATCAGAACAAACGTTACTGAAGAGCCTGAAGCCTGCTAAGAAGGGAAGGGCCAAGTTGATTTCCTCAGAAAATGAAATTTTTGTTGGTGATCACATGAGATATGTGTCGAGTTCAGAGGAAGAGGAAGTTGAAGGTAATGATTATGAAAATAACCAGGAGAGGTGTGATGTACTGAGTCATGCCAAGTGCTCATTGCAGAATATAAATAGCGGAGACCAAGAAATTGAAGAAGAGGGACATCCTGCGGCTAGTGAGATTTTAAAACAAAGAACAAATAATGAACCATCGAGAAGAAAGAGCAAATCCGAGACATCTCACAAATTGTCTAGGAGAGGTAAAGTTCGATGAATCCTTTTGATTGACCTGAAAAAATATGAAAGTTTGTGATAAAGATGCAACTGATTTTTCGCTTGATAATTTTTTAGTTAAAATGTTCATTACAACTTGGAAGGAGCAATGCTTGCAGTATAATGCAAATGAGGTATGCTGGTTCCTGTTGTTTTCATTATGTACCTATAAAAATGCCAAACCTGTATATTTCGTTAGGCTGTAGCAGCTTTTGTGTTGTTTTTACTAAAGAGCAGTTTTATTTCCTAGCATGTTAATTCTTCTTTTTGATGTAATTAACTTAGTATCTACTGGTATGTAATTTTTTTGTATGAATTAGACACTCTTAACTGCATTCAGATGTAGAAGCATATTTAAGAAGAAATTAGACACTCTTAACTGCATCACAATACCCAAATTCACACTAAATAAGTGTCAATAAATATACTAGAATGATGCCTATGATTTTTCTATTAAAGATGGAAAATGAACAATGCCATGAAAGAAACATATCCAGGGCCGGTTCTGAGAATTTAGAGGCCTAGGCGACTAATTATGAGACCCTTCAACATATTCATTTTTCACCAATGTAACAAAATTTAAACATTTTAATAATTAACACTTTTATATTAAAAAGAAAGACTTTATATAATTCAAAAGATAGAGTAGCAAACTAAAACTTTTATCACAACCCGAGATATTAGGCTAGCATATGATTTAACATTCTCACATTTTAGTCCCCCACCAAACNCATTTATATTAAAAAGAAGACTTTATATAATTCAAAAGATAGAGCAGCAAACTAAAACTTTTCTTACAACCCGAGATATTAGGATAGCATAAGATTAAATCTTCTCACATTTTGAGATGTAAAATCAGTAATCAAACTACTAAAATCAAGTTTTTCCAACATATTTTTTCAACAGAAATCATAGGTAATTCATTTAAGCGCATTTGTAACATTGTTGATCGAAGATAAGACTTAATCAACTTCAATTATAAAAAATTTCTTTTAGCAGAGGCAATTGTGACATGAATAGTCAATAATACTCTATAAGCGATCCAAACATTTGATAACTAACAATTTGAAAAATGAACGTAGAAAACAAACTTGTAATAAAAGATGACATTGACAATATCAATTATCAAACTCCTAACATATAAAACTACTAAATTCTAGATAAACTCAAATTCTACTTATTTCTACCTCTATCTCCATCAGTTTGTCTATTTCCTCCTTGTCGGGCTCTATTTTTTCTTAAAAAGACTGAAAGCAGGTTTGGAAATTATGAGCATTTTAGAGTATTGAATAAGGAAAAAAATGCAGATGATATATAGGCATGCAAGCTCAGGTTCAGTTATAACGACATATAGGATGGTTGCAATTTATCCTATTTTGACAAGAATGAAAAGTACACAAAAGGATGTTCTTGGAGTATTCCATCATTTTTTTATTTCATTTTGATCGTGCCTCAAACAATTTGCACGGTGAGCTGTGAAGTATTATGATTATAATTTTAAATACATGCTCATTGGAAAAAGATATTCTCAAACCAAATAGTAGGGTTGTATCCGATCCGATAAGAAAATTATCCGATACGATAATCCAACAGATATTTGATTATTAAATTCATATCCGATTTGCTATGTTATTGGATATCCGATCCGAAATTAATAAAAATTAAGAAAAAATCAATGTTCTTTAAAAAAATTTGAACTAATTCGACGCCCACAGGTTTTTACTAGCAAGCTCAATAGTGACTTCTACTATCATGATATTCCTTTTTAAAGGAGAAATCATCTTCTAGTTTTCTATTGACATTCGATGTGGGATAGGATAAAATTAAATTTCAATTTTAAATATAAATATTTTTTATTTCATTATTTTTATTAACAAATCAAATTATTT